AAAGAAGGTTGAGGAAATGATGAAAACTACTATGAAAAATTCCTCTACTCCTCTAGTTAAGAAGGTGAGGATACCATAAAAATGAAAAGAAGTGGATTTTGAGAATGAGTTGAGGAAATGAGCAATGTGCCTCTAACAGAAATCATAGAAGTATACCCATTCAACTAAAAGCTAATGTCCAAGGAAGTTCAAAAGAGGTACGATACTTCTGTCCACAATAGACTTATGGCTGGGGGGCATTGGATGAAATATAATGCATTTCTTAAAACCTACAACTTTGATTTGGATGACCATCTTAAGGAGTATAGGGGGCTGCTTGAATTGAATTTAGATTACTCTTCAGATGATGTAAGGGCTTTCTATTTAAGTTTTAAGTACAGTGATAAGAGTAAGAGGTATGAGGTTATGCTAAGAACACATCACATGTACTTCATTGCTAAAAGCTTAGCTCACATCTTGGGTTTGGAATATGATTAGGATGATGTAAAGCTATAAGAGTTTGGAAGGAGCTAGCAATATATAGGTCTAAAATACCATACTCTAGAGGAAAGATGCAAGGCCATATACATGGTCAAGGAAGTACCATATTATGTGAATCCTAGTTTCACCTTCAGACCTACCTACTTTCTATCCAAGCTTAGAATGTAAGAATAAGTAGTTGCAAGATTTTTAATCAGTAAGAGAACAACATTCAACACCTATAATGAAATTGAGCAGGAAATGATAATATTAATAATTCAACATGTGTCACTTCATCCTCACCAACATGATATAGGCAAGGAGTAAGGTAAGAAGGAGAAGTTGGATAGAAATCTTCATTATCCAATAGTAATGTCAACCATAATTGAGAGAAAAGTGAAGTCTCTTGAAGAATTCAAGGATACTACTCTCTTCAAGATGAAATTTAAGTTAGTTGATCAAGATTTGGTGCTAACCAAGGGAAATGAAAAAGATGAGGCTAGTCCTTTTGAGCCACCTATGAGAAAGAAGAAGGGAAAGAAGACAACAAAAGTTCTTAAGATGCCTTTGCTAGATCCAACTTAACCAGTCTCCAGTCCAATAAATTCCTAGTTAAGTTACTGAATAGTTTGCAATGCAAAATTGATAAAAATGTGTTCCACATGAAGTAGGATATTTCAAGCCTTAGTAGAATGATGTTGGTACTTAATGAGAAGTAAGAAAAATTAAGTGCCTAAGTAGATAAGATTCTAAGGCATCTAAAAATTGAAGTGGCACAAATGGAAGCTAATTCATCTAGTTCAATAGAGAAGAAAGGCTTCAATGTAAGTTATTACATCCTTAGCTTCCACCTTAACTCCACTAGATCACCAAAAGTTAAAACAAGACTGAATTATGGCACACTTACCCTCTATTCTTCCAGGCATTCTCTATTGAACCTTCGTACTTTACCTACCTCACCTCAACCTGCCACTCAAGCTAAAAACCAACCCAAAAAACAAATTAAAACTTAGTAACTTGAACCTCAAACCAGACCACAACCAGAAAATGAAACCAAAATCCATCCTTTTGATGGCCTTCTCAAAACCTAAATTCCCATCTCCATCTGACAAGCATTTAATGTTGTTCACTAAGAAAGTGATTTTTTTATATTCATCACTTCTACTCATTTCAATTGGCTATAATCATTGCCCAGAGTCTTCCTAATGTCTCTTTTGATGCTAAACAATAAATAGGACTTTATTTAAGTGAGTGGGTAACAATTCTTTGAACATTAAGTGTATAATGCATTCAATTCTTACCAACTTGCATTCAATATTTTGTGAAAAAGCTCGCAACTAGTTTATAAGCTTTCATTGTACTCATATTCACTCTTTTGGAAAATGATTGCTTTGAAAAACTATTTCATACTTCTCTAAAATCTTAGGAAGAGTTTTTTCTAAGTGGTTGGTGGTACTTACAAGTATTGTAATTTATTTTTCTGAAATTAAGAATGGTATAGTTTTGTGATTTGTATTATGGTGGCAAACACCCAATTAAACTTGTGGTTATAGTAAAAAATTTCAAATATAATTTTAAGAACTAGAAGTAGGCCATGTGGTTGGATTGAACAAAGATAAATCCTTTGTGTCAAGCTTTCTCATCTCTTAAACTCATCTATTTCATAAAAATTTTCTACACTTATTTAGTTTAGGTTCATCTTCATTTATGGGTTGGGAAAAGTTTTGTAAAAATTTTCAGAACACCCAATTCACCTCCGTTTTGGGTACTAGCTTTATTCAACAATTTACAACTATCACTTCAACTTTTTACAACTATAACTTTGCATATCCAATAATTAAACTGATCAAGCATTGCAAGTTTAATACTAATTGTATGCAATTGCTTCATCATTAATTTGCAAATATCACTTCAATATTTTACAACTTTAACTCACATATCTAATAATTAAACCAATCATGAGTTACTAATAAAGTTTAACATTAATTATTTACAACTACTTCATCAATAATTTACATATCATTTTAATATTTTACAACTATAACTTCATATATCTAATAGTTAAATCGACAATGTGTTACTAAGAAAGTTTAATAATAATTATTTACAACTACTTCATTAATAATTTACAACTATGTATCACTTCAATTTTTTACATTTGTAACTTTACATATCAAATGATTAAACTGATCATACATTACAAGTAAGGTTAGTATTGTCATTGCATTCTAATTTCAAATTACACTCAGGTGTCAAAGAACCTCTTTGTGGTTTCTAAATTTTGCATGACTTATTTGTAATTAAGTCTACTCCTAGACCTTTATATAATTTTCCCCAAAAAATATTCAACCAAAGTTATTGAAAGTGGTGTGGAATTAAAATATTATATTCCTAACTTGAATTTCCTAAAACATTCTGTCCACAATAAATCCGATTTTTGCATGATTCATTCACCTTCCTTTTGGAGAGCTTAACTGACTAGCATAGCTCTAAAAACGAGTTTGGAATCACAAAACGTGATCTTTCAGAAAATTTATTGTTTGATTTAATATTTCTGTTTTTTTTAAATCATGTTTAATCTCTGAATATTACTGTTTAACTAGTAACTGTATATGTCTTAACAATTTTATTCCTTTTTTTGTGTTAAATAATTTATTCTCGTTTTATAGACCCTTTACAAGAAGCCAATGAAATGATGATAAGAAAATGACAAAAGTGTAATAAAATTAAAAATAACCAAAAATAATAATTGGAAATTTACCAAAAAATAATAATAATAATAATTGGAAAACCACGGACACTATTCTTTTCCACTTGACAAGCTTTAACTAGATATAATCAAATTGATAAAGGTGGCAATAATATCTATAAATGGTCAAATTAAGAACGCGTTAATTTGTCAAATACTATACCTTATTCCAAAGCCATCACGTACGGATGCACCAACCAAGAGAAAAACATAAACAATGTCGCTTTAATTTTCAATATCGTCATGTCATTAATTTTTTTTTATTATAAGTTTTCTCTTTAACTCTTATTAAATATTATGGAAAGAGAAAATTCATTATTTAAATATGTATATTTTGTAAAAATAAAATTAAAAATTTATTAAACTTTTAGAGAATTAATAAGTTTTACAACTTTTCTTGATTTCAGTAAAATATGTTAAAAGTTATTTATAAATAAAATTAAAGGAATATAATATAATATCCTATAGAGCTGGAAAGTATAACTGTCCATGTGTAACAAACGAATGTTATTGTGTGCATGGGTGTGATTACTTGAGAAATCAATAAACTTTGACTTAGAACCAGTGATGAATGTAGGACCCTGAGCTAGTAGGAGTATAAGTATATAAAATATAAAATAAGAAAAAAATAATTATATATATAATAAATATTTAGTCAAGTAAAATAATATTAGAAAAGAAAAATAAAAAGATACATTTATAAAAAAAGTCTAAATTTAAATATAATGTATAAAAAATTCAAAATATATTGAGTTCAAAACTATTTGGGCATTGGGGGGAAAATTTTAAAATATTCCATATACTCCTTGTAAATTTTTTCAAGTTGAGTGGAAGGTGGGGGCATTTGCTCACCCTCATCGCTATGTTTGCCACTACTTAAAACAATTCAATTTTGATAATTTTTCAATTCAAAATGCTCAATCCTTAAAATTTTTTGATTTGGTACAATTCAATTTTTATAATTCCTTAACCCAATAAATTATAAAGATTAAATTATACCGAGTCAAGGTTCAATAATCAAATCAATAATTAAAAGAAAATTTAGAGAGTAAAAGTTATACTATCATATTTTTTCCCTTTGAATATAAGTTAGAATCAAGTGGTGCGAATGCAAAAGTCAAAAGGAAACGATCCACATTGATACGGATAAATATTATTTAATATATTATATTATATATATTTGATGTGATTAATTAGTGGACAAGTTGACGACTATCTAGAATTTCTAATAAATAAATAACTCTATTCATCACCAGCTAGTAAGCATTATCCATATCCATCGACCAATCAGCCAAAAATATTATATTTATAAAGTTTTTCTTACTCATGCATACGTAACTAGTATTTCTGATAAATGATTGAAAATATTTTAGAGAGAAACATATATATATATATATATATGAATAAGTGATTCAATTAAAATAATTCCTGCACTAAAAGATATTAGATACATAGTATTTTTTTACCATTAGAGAAAAATAATAGTAAATTGAAGTTCTATATATATATATATATATATATCAATGATTAACTCTCGCAAAAAGTAAAAGCAATAAAAAAAACAAGCGCTATAGAAAGGCGGGGAAGAAAATGCAAGATTCTCAATTATATACCAACATCCATGCAACCAGAAATTGTGATTGAGTTCACATCTACCAACTAGTCATGACTTAAATTTTTCTTTCTAATATTATATTTATTAACGCATTTATTTACATAATAAAATATATTGGATCCACCAATCCAAACCTACTCCTTTCCCTGGTTCTACTATAAATAGGGGCCTTGCTCTAAGATTTGCATCAACACAAGTTTCAGTTCAACAATGTTCTATAAAAAATTGCTACTGCTCCTTATTGGAGTGGTGTTTCTCACCACTCCTACCTTTGCAGATTACTATCAGCCTCCCACTTATAAGCCCCCTGTTGAGAAGCCACCGCTGTACAAGCCCCCTGTTGAGAAGCCACCGGTCTACAAGCCCCCTGTTGAGAAGCCACCCGTCTACAAGCCCCCTGTAGAGAAGCCACCCGTCTACAAGCCCCCTGTAGAGAAGCCACCGGTGTACAAGCCCCCTGTAGAGAAGCCACCCGTGTACAAGCCCCCTGTTGAGAAGCCACCGGTGTACAAGCCCCCTGTTGAGAAGCCACCGGTGTACAAGCCCCCTGTTGAGAAGCCTCCGGTGTACAAGCCCCCTGTTGAGAAGCCTCCCGTGTACAAGCCCCCTGTTGAGAAGCCTCCCGTGTACAAGCCCCCTGTTGAGAAGCCTCCCGTGTACAAGCCCCCTGTTGAGAAGCCTCCGCTGTACAAGCCCCCTGCTGAGAAGCCTCCCGTCTACAAGCCCCCTGCTGAGAAGCCTCCCGTCTACAAGCCCCCTGTAGAGAAGCCACCCGTGTACAAGCCCCCTGTAGAGAAGCCACCCGTGTACAAGCCCCCTGTTGAGAAGCCACCCGTGTACAAGCCCCCTGTTGAGAAGCCACCCGTCTACAAGCCCCCTGTTGAGAAGCCTCCGCTGTACAAGCCTCCTGAAGAAAAGCCACCCGTCTACAAGCCTCCAATTGAGAAGCCACCTATTTACAAGCCACCTGTGAAAAACCCACCAAGCTATCAGCCTCCACCTTATGGTTACTAGCCCCCATCATCAGCCATGAACTATTGAGTATCTTTCGATCTTAAACATATTTTGGCATTCTAAAAATAAGCGAGCTTGTGATCTACGCAGTTTGTCATCAAGTGTTTAATATTTTACCAACTCTATTTTACTTTGGCATTGTTGTTAAGCATTTATATTATAATTTTAATATTGATCACTTATAAAAATGTCTGTTTCGCCCTGCTTCTACTCGTGTTTAATTGACAGTATATTTTGGTAGCCATAATTCATAACCAACAAATCTCATTTAGATATATCTATCAATGAACACGAGCTGAATAACTAGTGATTGAAGCAAATATTTTGGTATAGAGTAAAAACTGTGACATCACTTTGTCACTTGGCGTTCGTTGAGAATATCATCATCTTACATTTTACAAATGTATAATAGCATGTTGATTTTAGTTAGGATTCCATCCGTCTTAATTTATAAGATTTTTTTTTTTGTGAAATTATACATACATATTATTAAAGACATTTTACAATCTTAATTTTTTTTTTATAAATTTCCAAAATTAGCATTCATTAATAAGAGATTGGGAAAATTTTATCTAAGTGAAATAGTAAGTGGTAATATTTGACTAATCATCATTAATGAAGTCTTATTTTTTTTTCAAAACATCTTATATTTTAGAACACCAAATCACCTCTAAAAATATCTTATAAAATGAGACAAATTGAATGAAAGTAAAATAAAATAAAATAAAATGTGCTAAAGTGTACTTTTAGTTCTCTAACTTTATATAATATTTCAATTTGATTCTTTAATTTTGTAAAGTATCTTTTTAGTCCTTTAACTCTAACTTCATTAGTTTCAAATGATTATTTTTTGTGTTAATCATTGTTATTTTAAAAAAATTAAACTTAATATGTCAACATTTAAGAATGTTTTGTCAATATTTAAAAGTTCAACGTAAAAATTTGTTAGTATAAAACTAATAGTATTAAGGTTAAAGGACTACAAAGACATTTTATAGAGTTAGAGAATTAAAATGAAACATTATGTAAATTTAAAGGACTAAATATATATTTTATCCATTAAAATAAAAACACTTGACCACACTATGCTGCTTCATTAATTTGCTTTGATCCTCAGGTGAGAGAATGTTCTTTCGTTGACCCAGGATATATGATCATGTATAGTATCAGTACAATAAATTCTCTCTGGGCAGAGAATGATATATTAATTTTCACGTAGTTTAATAATGGGACAACAATAATTGATAGCTCGTTTGGTTCAATTCTGGACGCAGAATGAGATATAATGCAATGCAATCTTAATTACCATGGGCATGTTTAATACACTTTTAACAAAAGACGAATAAAAAAAATTCAAATTACATTAAAAAAAGTGAAAAGACAAAATTATCCCTCACGATTGCCAAAACAAAAATACCCTCCCACTATTCATTGCATCAGCCAATCAAATGAAAAATCATATCCTCCCAAGTGATTGTTGCATCAATAACAAAATTAATTCTAAAATCTAAAAAACAGGTCTAGTAGCATGAGCTTTATGGAAATCATTGGTGGAAGGAAATGTTAAATCGCTGCCTTTAGTGTTTATGGGTGATTGCTGCTTCTTGGATGATAAGGAAGAAGAACATGATGGAAAAAGGTATTGGGGTAAGAGGAAACAACAATGGTGAGGGGTTTGGTAGTTCCTGAACTTGTCTTTTGCAGCAGCAATCAAGTCGTTAGCCTTGGTTGTCATCTTCTTCCTTGAACTTAGGTGATGTCGCATACTTGATGGAGAGGGAGAAGGTCGATTGTGGTGGAGCAGATAAAGAGAGAGGAAAGATGGAAAGAGGTCGATGATGCTGGAAAAGACTAAAAAGCCAACGATGGCGGCCAGCTAGGGGTGACAGCGGTCGCAAAGTTGACGAGAGGCCAACGACGACGGTGAGGGGAAAGGTAGGTAGTGGTGGCTGAGTTGGAGGTTAAGGTGACAATGCAGCAACGATGGAGATGCAAGGAGGGCATTTTTGGAATGGAAATATGATAATGAAGTACAATAAAGATTCGTGGGTGATAATTGAGCATTACCATTACTTTGGTAATGATGTGATAATATGATTACCATGAATCCACTTTAAAGACTAACCACCCAATGGTAATACAATAGTTAACTGCCATTTGTATTGAACCAAGTAGGCCCTTGAACAATAAAACATCAGGATTTCAAATGGCTTGACGGAAAGATTAGAATGTTTTTTGAACGCTTATAAGTCACTCTTTTATGAACATCATTATTAGCCAAAAAAACCTTTAAAAAATTAATTCATGTGGATCAGATCCTTAAATCTTGACCTGATGTTGCATTGACTTGGTTGATGTAATTTTCTTGTAACTAAATATTTTTAAATCCAATTTTATAGAAGAAACGTTGCAAAGAGTATTTGACAAACACAAAAATGAAATATGCTCTAAAACATGACTATAAGTGATGGGAAAATATCTGGTCTCAAAAAGTTACAAAAGCCTGAAAATAAAAAATGCTCTAAAACTATGAAAACCAATAAATAAAAGATCCCCATTATATAGTCTCTTTCAACTTTCACAACTACACAGTACTCAAAAACCATGTATTGATCACCTAAAAGAATAATTTATTATAAATGCCATACACATTTAAATTATAACAGTTAAAAGATGAAAATGGGTTTGCAAATGACGAGAAGAGTAATAATTTCCCTCCAACAATTAAACACCCTTTCTCAGTCCTCTTATAATCAAACGAAACAATTCTAATCAAGGTGATTAGAATCAAATCAATATGGCCAATTCAAAGTGTAACTAATTAGACCTTGGTCTCATTTAGCTACAAAACACATTCACGGCTAGATAGGATGCATTCTTCAAACAGAAAATCCTAAGAAAATGAAATAATAACATCAAGTTTAACAAATTGTGAACATGAGATTGTCTTCAAATCAAATTACAACTGTATATATCCTAACAATCAACAAAGGCTACATAAATTACAGGCTTTGAAAGACAAAATTGAAACGATAAAATCTAAAAATCTATCATATATACAAAAACTTGAATGTCAAACCCTTCCCATTTTAGCAGGAAACAGAACACTACTGATTTGCAAGACTGACTTCCAGAGAAATTTGCAAGGATGGCCTTTCCAGGCTTAGAGAAAATTTTGAATTACTAATTGCAGTTAAACACCAACCTCAATGACCTTTCCCAAATCGCTTTGGATGATGTACTATGATAAATCTGCAAAGAACAAACATCTAGATTCCTATGGCTCCAGTAAGCCATCTTCCCAGTGTCCAGAAAACAGTCAACATCAGGACTGGAAACTCCGAGTCTGAGTTCGGATGATATACTAAATTCTAATACCGGCAAAATAAATCAGCTAAAAGGAAAAAGGAACTAACTGATGTCAGTGTTCCTCACCTGTACTGCTGCTAATATAAGCACACACTTGAACCTGTGGAGAACCCACACGCCAGATTTTGGATCAAAAAATTTAAATTAACACTGGAGCCAGGTGTCTAGTCAACAATCAGGGGAAAAAAAAAACCAACTGATTTTCCAGTTACAAATAAATGGGCTTCACATCATTGGGCCCAAAGCTTGCAGCACATAACGGACATTTGCGTTGCTTACTGTCAACAACTTTCATGATACATGGATTGCAGACCAAGTGATAGCATTTTGTAATTACAACCTAGCACCAAATTACAAACATATGAGGATTCAGAACGATAAAGCAGCCCAAAATGTTAACTATGTTTCACTATTAAAAGAATTTCAAAGGAGTTATTCATGAGAAGAAAGTAAATAAATTCTAAGAGCAATTTATCTATCAGGGCACTGTTAATGAAATGCCAGTCACAGAAGTTCTTGAATTAATAACTTGAATGAGTAGATCTGTAGATGAGTGCCGAGAAGCTATATTCAAGGATGACATTTAATGTAAAAGGGCACCGAGGGCCCAAGCCCATTTAGGATGGGCTTCCTCTTCCTCTAATTTAATAACAGATATTTGTATCTTTTATACTATTCTGTTCTCAGATTAGGATCATATTTTTAATTTTCTAGATTCTCTTTGATTAGGTTGTAACAAACCCTCGTTTTCTCCCTATATGTAACTTGCGACTGCTATGAATAAAACTGAAGCTAAGAACTCAATTGCTCAGCTGATTTCTTCGCGGTATCATGAGCCAGGTTGATCCAATCTTAGCTTTGGCCACTATGAGGCCTTCAATATCGAAGTCGTTGATGCCAACTCAATCCAGAGCCCTAACATGTTGACTTCAAGTCGACAGCCTCCAAACGGCTCTGCTCTTATGCAAGACCCAGTGAGTTTCATCATTGCTCATAAGCTTGATGGGGAGAATTATCTTCAATGGTCTCAATCGTTTCTTATGTTCAGCAGCAGAAGTGGTAAAGAAGAATTTATTGATGGCCACTCAACCTCCTATTCCTTCTGATACTAAAATACATGACATGGCGCACTGAAATCAGCCAAGTTATATCTTGGCTGGTGAACTCTGACACTCGAAGTAGGAAGAAATTTCATGATATACATGAGTGCAAGAGAGACATGGGAGGCCGCACAAGAGCTTAATTCTCCAACCTCAAATACTGCTGTGCTGTCTGAAATTAAAGGACAACTCAATAAGCTGAGGCAGAACAATATGACAGTGACTGTCTCCTACAACCAATTGGTGCAACTGTCGCAACAAATCAATCTTTATGAAATCCATTCTGGTCATGCAATGAAAATGCCAGGTATTATCAAAAATTAGTTGAAACAAAACAATTTATAAATTTTTATTTGGTTTGAATCCAGAATTTGAGGTCAGAAGTCAGATTCTAAGTTACTCCCAGCTCCCTCAATCCAAGAAGTTTTTCAACCATTAAAAGGGAAGAGAATCGTAAATGTATATTAGGAAGAACTAATATGCCCCTGCCTACTGAATCTTCAGCCACAGCCGCCTGAGGATCATCTACCAACGATGAATAAAGCAAAAAGGGAAGTCACATGTTCTGTGATCATTGTAACAAATCTGGATTACAAGAGACAAATGCAGGAAAATCCATGGGCACCCTAATCAAGACAAGCAGAAGGGAAGAAGAGAAAGTCATGGGTATTCTACTGATGATGAACAGAAACCTGTGCCAGATCTTAATCAATTAAAAGAGAATTTTGATCAATTGC